TGCGGGTGGTGGTGCGGGGGGACCCACTCGCGGTGCATGTTGAGGGCCTTGGGGAAGCTGCCGCCGAACTGGCTGTCGAGCGGGCTGAAGGGCGCCTGCACGTTGATAAGGTAGGCGCCGTTGATGGGCTCGACGCGGTGCTCCGCCTTGGTGGGGCTGTACGGCGGCCCGAGCGGCTGCGCCAGGGGCGTCACCACCACGTGGTCGAACGCCCCCGAGACGCGCGCGCCGCCCCGGGGTTTCCTCTTGCTGTTGTTGTTGCTGTTGCTGTTGTTGTCTCGACGCCGCCTAAGAAAGTTGTTGTTGTTGTTGCTGCTGCTGGTGGACCGACGTGCGGACGGCGGTGTGGCCAGCTCCTCCTCTTCGAGCGAGCTGGACGACTCGGACTTCCGGCGCCGGCGAAACAGGCCCCCGAAAGACCCCCCGATTGAGCCGCCCAGCCCGAGGGCCCCGCCGAGAGACCACTTCTTCTTGTTGGGGTCCTTGGAGGCGTCCTTGGCGGACTCCTTGCGGTCCGCGGGTCCGTCAGAGTGCCTCTTGCGAGGGGGCGTTGGGAACGGGTGCCCCAGCTGGTGTCCGAGTGGGTGCCCCAGCGGGTGCCCCAGGGGGTGTCCTGGAGGGTGTCCGAGCCCCAGCGGGGCCCCCTCCACGCTCTGCCACGCCGGGTGCTGGTGGTGCTGGGCCGCGCCGGGCCCGGGGCCGTGGGGGCGCTCCATGGGTGCGGCCGCCAGGGAGAGCGGACGTCGCGGAGCCGCGCTCACGGTCTGGAACACACAAAACAAACAGCCGTCAGTACAAGACAAACCTTGACCGCCGTGCCGTGACGCGCAGCGTTTTGGTAAAATAAAAAGGAGGCCATTAAAACTAATGAAAAAACACAAACAGAGTGCACCAGTGAGCTTTATCGAGAGTGCTGGCCAGGGATAAGCCCCTCACATTTTGAAACGGGTCATTCCGTATGCTAAAGGCCACTCAGGGCGTAAACGTAAACGCTCCCTGGCGCAGCGCTCAGGACGGGCAGCCGCGGCCACGTGAGTCGTGAGAAAAGTGGGGCGGCGGGAGCATCGCGAGCGAGCAGCGGGAGGGTCAGGGCCTCGGACAGGACGGGAGCAGAGCCGCTGACCAGACCAGGACGCCTAGCGGCAAAGTGTCCTCCCCCCTCACTCTAACCCTTCACGCCAGACAAACACTTCCATTTCGCAACAAAAACCTTTGCGCTGAAGATAAAAGCTCCTTTTAAAAAGGTTGGTTTCACTATCGGTAATGTAACAACTCAACTCGGGCCCGGCGGCGCCTGGCGCCCGTGCTGCACTGACCCTAGGCAAGGCGGCGGCACACAGGACCAGACTTCGCATCTCCACTTTCCATTTCGCCCAGTGGGGCGGGGCGGCGCCCCACGGCGGCCAGTTTTTATTTTACGGTCTGACAGACGGCGTGGACCACTCCAATCCTCTCCCTGCCGGACCGGGCGCCGGGCTGCTCAGGCTCGCCTTCAATCATCTCCAACGAGCCAGGGAAGGACCATCAGAGTGGGCGGGACTGGCGGGGCGCGCGCGAGCCGGCGCGAGCACATGGCGCCAAAGCTTTTATCTCCGACATTAGCGCCTGGACTAGGGCTGGGCCAGACCATGTGGGTGCAAAACGCACGAGGGAAAACGCACACACACGCGCGCGCTCTCTCACCCACACACACACACACGTACACTTACACCACCGCACCGCGACCACTCTCGCACCGGAGAAGGCGACATGGTCATTGCTACCGCGCACAGCACAAAACAGTTGACTCGAGAGTTGACTGCGCCATTTGATTTTACTATGGGGGACTATACCCCCCCCCCCTTCCCCACACTCCGCCGGAACTGCCGCAAAGCGTCGACGTCGGTTCAGCCATGTTTTTAGCCTGCTGGCTAATATTGACCAATTTCAAGGTTCTGCTGCTCGAGAGGACGTTAACTCGCACCCACCATTTTGCTTTCCCTCCCCTGACAAGGTAACCTTCTCCTACACTACTACTAAATAATCTGCTTTTTGGCGATTTTGTCTAAATTCCTTGGCGCCATCAGGAATCCCTACCGACCGAAATGTTCCACCGTTCCGTTTCCATGTGGCACTCGCCATGCAGTGGGCGTGTGATAGAGACATAGCAGGCCGAGCGGTAGGTGGGTAGGTGGGTATGTCGCTGGGCCCTTGGGGGCCCCCGGGTGAGGATTCAGCGCACGTCGAGCGCTGCGCTCCGTGCATTGGTATTCCCCGCGGCCCGGACACGCTGCATGTACTAGCTGCACGCAGGGCCTCACAAAACGGTGACGTTCATGGAGGACGAGACGTAAGACCCCCTCGAGTCCTCGGGCCGCTGCTGCCGGTGGGAGCCTCCGCGCGAGCCGTCCTTCAGCGGGGGACCGTCGCCGGCATTGCCGCCCGCCCGCCCCGCCCATGGCGCCGCCGATGCGAAATTTTAATTACTTGGCGCCGACCGGAACGGATAAAGGATACTAGTGATCCCGCTATCCTTGAGCGCCCCTGCCCACCCCGCCCCGCCCCGCGCGTCACCGGAGCCGCCGCGGCGTGCTGCTCACCTCAGCGGTCGCATTGTGTGTCCGCCCCGCCGTGCCCGCGATGCGTTTAGTTTGCATTGTCCGACATGAGGTCGGCGGGGCACGGCCGGGCGCACGGTGCGGCTAGAAACCTCTCCATAGAGGCCACATTCATTACGCCCGGGTGGGCCGCCCCGCCCCGCCCCGCCCCGCCCC